CCGAGGCGGCGAGTCTCACGCGACCGTTCCCCCGAGGCGGCGAGTCTCGCGCGACCCTTCCCCCGTGGCGGCGTGTCTCACGCGACCGAGGCGGCGAGTCTCACGCGACCCTTCCCCCGAGGCGGCGAGTCTCACGCGACCGTTCCCCCGAGGCGGCGAGTCTCACGCGTTGCTTACGCTCATTACAGACTGCAACCTCTGGTACGGCGTCGACATCAACAACGAGGACATCGCCGACAACCTGGAGGCGACCGTCTGGGAGCCGGCGATCATCAAGGTGAACGCGCTGACGGCGGCCTGCGAGGCGGCCTGCCTCATCCTGTCTGTCGACGAGACGATAAAGAACCCGTCGTCGGACCCCGGCGCGCAGGGAGGCGGGATGCCGCCGAGGGGACGCGGGCGTGGCAGGCCGTTCTGATTGCGTCGTCGCGCGAGAGGGCGCTAGGCTCGCGGGGGGGCAGGCGTGACGCGTGGCACGTGACGTGGCGTGTGACGTGTGACACGGCTCGTGACACGGCGCGTGACACGGCGCGTGACACGGCGCGTGACACGGCTCGTGACACGGCGCGTGACACGGCGCGTGACACGGTTCGTGACACAGCACGTGACACGTCACATAGCTCGTGACACGTGACACAGCGTACGACGCTGACTCGATCTTGTTCGGCTCTGCCGTCCACTCACCGGACTTGACGGAATCTTACCATTATATAATACCCTTCACCTACTTTTTGGACTTTTGCACCTACTTTGCGGGCGTTAACCATTAACCGTGCAATCGTTAACGTTGCCTTGCGTTTTCGTTTTACGATGCAAATAGTTTGGCAGCCGCTGAATTTTTCCCGGCGACGAAACAGTTTCCGTGGTTAACGTAATCTGGATCTTCTGAGTTTCAATGAGGGGACCAACTGTCATCTGGTAACGTTGGGGGTCGTTCGTCGTGTGAGTGGATCTTCTTGGTAGAATCGAAGAGTTAGAGCTCGTATCTGTGTAAGCGTGGAGCGATGCGCCCTCTATCCTGGCATGTGTGTTATTTTTTGTCCTGCAACGACCTGTGATGTTTCGCTTTTTTAAGTGCCGCGTCGCATTTCGTTTCATCCTTTTTTACTCGCATCTGCCCTGAAAGTCGCGGCATACGTTTTCTTATGTGATTATGTTGTCGTCCGTTTGCTCGGTGGTGACTGTACTACGCAGCTTGCTACCCTGCTAACAATACGTGCGTAGTCGCATTCACGTAGTCTTTGTCCATGTACTGACATCTCATTTCTGTAGATTTTCAAACCACTCTGGTGACTAATGAATATCTCCACCTAGGATCAGTAAGGTTACCAAACTTAATGCAATATTTAACATACTGCTGTAGAGTGTATTGCCAAGCACGGCTTTTGCGTGTAACTGTTTATTCTGGATGATCCGAGTGCAATTTTCGTACACTTGTGTAGTTACAAAGCTTGAATGCCGTGTCTTGTGGGCGCGTTGGCGTTTAAAATATGACGCTTATTTAAAACCATCAATAAATAGGGACGTATAGATGGCGCTCGTGCTTGTGTGCGGTCACTGGTGTGAGTATGAATGAATGTATCCGGCGTGGAAGCAGATTTCGGCAGTGTGTTATGACACTCCTGCTTTCGATATTATTTAAATAAATCCACCAAGATTGAGGATATTGCGTTCGTTTTATCTGTCGTGCTGCTATATAGGAGAAATAATGGCCACATTGAGTTCAATATCCGGAAATAGAGCATACATTGAGTATACATGTTGTACCATGGATAGAGAATAGAGATCTTCTATTCTATATCTATGGTTGTACACACGGCAACGTCAAGATACAATAAAATAATGATAGGCTGCTTTAAGTTGCCTTTGTTACTCGGAAGGCTGGCTTTCCTTGTCAAAATCATTTCGAAATAAGTCCGAGAGAAGAGATTTCTTGAACTTCTATTTTGAAAGTGTGCGTCTAATCGGCGCTCTTCTCGGCTGTTAGAATTATGACTTGTTGAATTCACGTCAGAGAGTTGACAGCAAGCTTGGCATTGCTCTACGTGCAGTTGTCTTTGTTGTCAAATTTTAAATCAAGAATGCACTCCATGTGCTATATGTTGCAATATGATTGCTGATAAATATTAAATTAACGGTAGCGGTTATGTGGCACCAATCTGGTCTCTATCTCTTTCTCGCCCCCTCTCCCTCTCTTCCACGCTCTTTCCCTCTTTCTATATAATACATGTATATATATATATCGCGTACGGTGACGGGGTGGGTTCTTATGTCGTCATACACGCAGATGCCCCCCATGTCCTTGCTCTCAGGTGCTCATATATATATATATTAGGTATATATATATCAGGAGTGGATTATAGGGATCCCTATTATCCACTCCTGATATATATATATATATCGCGCGGTGTGCGTTTGTATGTCGTCATGCAGGCAGCTGCCCCATGCCCTTGGTCATGCCCTTGGTCTCAGGTACTCGGATGTCGACACTTGAGCGGATCATGCACATCGACTGCGCATGCGCTGGATCGGTAGCGTTGCTGACACCAGTCAATCAGCAAGGTCAATATTTAGGTTAGGCTTCTGACGATTAAATAAATATTCCATTCGAAATTACAATAAATGGCAAACGGTGCAATATTAACGTTCGCCTGTGTTTTCTACTGCTATAATAAAATAAAAAAAACGCATTTGTGTTTATGTGTGACAAAATTAATAGTATATTTTCAACAGTCTGAGAATAGGCGTTATGGTATGACCCCACTTCTAGAGTCACACAAACAAGAAGTATTTGCATGCATGTCCTTACACGTTTCATTTTGCTGACCGGTGGCTAATTACTCTAATGAAGTAATAGATTATTAACGAAAGTCTTTCGAGTCAACGACTCAATTTACGCATCGAAAAGAAAAATGATTGCATTCGTTAGTTCGTTGGTCATCAGAAGTCGGTCGTGCACCTTAGTGGTTGTATGTGCTAGGCCTGTATCCGTACGTGGTGCGGGATCCGACGCCATGCCCACGTGTGCCGTAACCTGCAGTTCCGTAGCTGCTGCTGCCGTAGCTAGGTGATCCGTAACTCCTAACACCGTAGCTGTTGCTGCCGTAGCTTGGGGACCCGTAGCTGGTTGTACCGTAGCTTGGGGAACCATAGGTGCTTGTACCGTAGCTTGGGGAACCGTAACTCCTGGTACCGTAGCTAGGTGATCCGTAGCTGGTTGCTCCGTAGCTTAGGTTCTCCGCTAGGTGGAGCCGTAGCTGGTTGCTCCCGTAGCGTCGGATCCGTAGCGGTTGGTTGCCTCCGTGAGCGTGCGGGATCCGTAGCTGGTTGCTCCGTAGCTTTGCGTTGCCTCCGATAGCGCTTTGGCACGAGGGCGGTGGGCAGGGGGAGTCGAGATTCCGTAAGCTTGGTTGCGCTCCGTAAGTGCAAGTGATGGGTGTGGGATCCGTGTTAGCTGGCGGTGGCTCCGTAGTGCGTTTGTGTAGTGTGTAATCTTCCGTAGCTGGTTGCTCCGTAGCTTGGGGATCCGTAGCTGGTTGCTCCGTAGCTTGGAACTCCGTAGCTGCTAGCTCCATAACCCGAGGAACCGTAAGTGCTTGTTCCGTAACTTGGAGTTCCGTAACCGACACGAGCATTACCCAGTCCGTAGTTGTAACTGCAAGCATACATATAATTACAATACAGAACGAATACCACACGTGTCTAGTTCTAGAAGATCTAGAAGTTCTATCAGATCTAGAAGTTCTAGAAGATCTAGTGTCTAGAAGAAACGCTGGTGGATCAACCGGAAAAACGCAGTTACAGCGACCCTCGCTTAATCGGACACGTCGGGAACCATGAAGCGGTGGTCCCGATTAAGCGGTGAATAACGTTGTAACGTGCGTAAGGGTTGTTTTTCAAAGACAATGCCGTTTACGCGATGCGCCCGTGTATCCGAGGCCCGTTAAAGCGGGGACCACTATTAGTTGCCGCTATCTGAATAACAAACAGTTATTCCGCGAATATCTCATCATAGATATCTCATGAGAGGTATCTCAACAACGATAGCTCATAATTGATAGCTCATCAAGGAGATATCATAAGTGATATCTCATCAAAGTTATCTCATGAGAGCTATCTCATTAAAGATATCTCATGAAAGGGTGCGGCATCGGTGTATCTAATATCACATCGCGTATTCACGTATAGGCTGTTGAGTGTTGATCTGATATGTGCGGATGTTTGCGTAACGATGCAGCGCATGTAGAATCGTACATACCTGGTACGGCGACCGTAGCCTGCGCCATTATGCCCGGACGAAAGAGACGGCGACCATTCAGCCTAATCACAACGAAGAAGAAAGACACGTGTCAAACATTTATTGTCAGCTATATCGATACTGGTTACTTTCTAGTGTTATATAATAT